CCAAATTCATTTTTTTGGTTCGATTTTCAAGTAAACAATCGATTCGGTTAAAAAATGCCCAACCCTACTGTTTAGTCCCTCAAGTAGGGATGGCAACAAATTCCCATGAGGCGAGGACCCCTCCCCATCCTTATCATTGTCAATGATGGATATAAGATTCCCACAAAAGTTTTAGTAAAAGGTAAAAAATAACTTCCGTTTCCCTACCTATAAAGATTGATAAGCAGAGAGTATGCAAAATCCTCACCAAATATTAAATATAAAAAATTTAATTTTTTTTATAAATAAAAAAATAAAAATTTAAAATAACTCAAATAAATAAATATATTAATATTAATATACACTGCAGTAAAGTAATACGCAATAACCAATTGTAACAAATACACGATGTCATACACTCTAGTAGGTCTAGTAGTAAATTCATTAAAAAAATACATGAACTACCATACATGTTTAGATTAAGTTAGGTTATTGAATTACGTTTGGGATGATTAGAACTAGACAATTTAGGTTGGTTGGAATGGTCAATTTGATTAGATGAATAAAAATTAATTGGTAATATATTTATAAAAATATAAAAATATAAATATATATATGAATAAACTTATATTTTTTTATTATATATGAATCCATACGATTCTCCATTGGGTGTAAGCAATTCCTTGTAAAATTTTATGGGAAAAAAATGCATTTATCCCTGCCTTACAAGAAAAAATATTTTTAAAATTTTCATCTTTAAGAATTTCCACCGCACCTCGCAAGTTTCGAAGAAAATTGCCACCCATCCCTATCCTCCAGATAGAATGAGACAACTAAATCCTTTTGTCCCACTAGACTATAATCATAGTCGACAAAAATTCAAACAATCGCTAATAAAAATATTCGTATTGTCTCCCTCAACTAGAAAGCGTGCAAATTTATATGTCAAATTTCAAAGGGGTATGAAGAAAAATTCACAACCGAGACAAAAATTAATGTCTCCCTTAATTGAAAATGCATGCAAATTTATTTATCAAATTTCAATGGGGTATGTAAAATAATTTGCAATTGAAAAAAAAAATTAAATTAACTAAAATTATTACCAATGGGGTTTGATCAAATTTTGAGTTTTTTAACTGAATACTATTATGTATTATCTAATAGGTTTTAGTT